GATTCGTCCTGGGGGCTGCCTGCCCACCGCTGGCTTTGGCTGCTCTGGGGCAGTGTCTCTCTCTTGCCAAAAGCACAACGTCTCACGAGGGTTTGGGTTTCATTTCACACCAACGAAAACAAACCTGGAGAACGACGGTTTTCACGTTGGCCTCCTTGTGTTCTGGTGAGCCCCGCGGCCTGGCCGCTGCCTGAGCGCTGCCCTGGATCCAGGGGCATCCTCCGTGTGCTCGTGAGGGGCGGTCGGGCGCAAGGGAGCTCAGCGCAGCGTCTGTCGGGAACGCTAGGAGCTGGGCAGATCCGGCTGGCAGCAAACAGACCGTGCAGTCCGAGGGCGGTGCCGTGGGAGGGGAGCTCTCCCCGCCTCCCCGGCTAAGCAGGGACTGTGCAGGTTACCCAGGGATTACAAGGGCCAGTGCCACGGCCCAGACAAAGGCGGGGTCAGACTCTCCGTGACACTCCAGGGAGCGCCAGGGGAAAGCAAAGATCGGAGACTTTGCCTTAGCTGAGGCAGTGCATGGACCCTGGCGTGTCCAGCTGTCAGGCCTGAGAGCGCCAAGGGCAGAGCTGCTCCCAAGCGTTCAGCTAGCGCATGGCCGTTCTGCTGCGCTGTCCCCTTGGCGGGCCGGCCTGGGGCCTGGCTTCTGTGGTGTCAGTGTGTTAGCATCAGGCCGACGTGCAAACAGCAGCCTCGTGTTCCCACGCCGGGGTCCAGCAAAGCCTCACTTCCAGCAGCCCGCAAGCCTTTTGGCGCCAGGGGGTTCTCCTAGGTATGCGCTAGGGAGCTACAAGTGTAACCGGTTAACCCGTAAGTGGCCGCCTATCGGCTCCGGCTAACGATTCACGTCCTGCGGGGGCCGGCGGGGCCGCAGCCCCCTGGCGCTCGTTTGACTGGGTGACTGACCGATTTGAAATGGCTGCATGGACGGCGTTGGTGAGGATTGGACGTCCCCCGCAAGCGCGAGCTCAGCGCCTGGAGCCGCTATTGAAGCGGTGTCAGGCCGGGAACGTTTTTGTTGCACGGTGAGATGTGAGTCTCTCTAGTGACTCCCCGGAGCCCTGCCGGCTCTGCCACCGCTGTGCAAAGGCCGGGAGGGAACGGGTGTGAGCGCTCGTTGGGTGGATGTCACGCCGCTCCGTCAGGGACTTTGTGTTCCCGGCGCTCTGTGTCCGCCGTTCCACGTACTCCCCCCACGTGGCCGCTTCCCAGGGAAGCGGGTCAAATCCCACATCGGCACCTGCCTGTACTAGGCCGGCTGGCTTGAAAATAGGCCTCTGAGAGGTCCAAGCCCCAGGCTGCGGGGCTCCCGATCTCAGCGCCGTCCCCCGGACTCGGGTCCCTTCCCGCGCGGTCCTGTTCTCTTCGCTCTCAGCGGAGCAAGGAACCGACGGGGGGGCGTGTACATCTCGCTCGCTCTCCTCGTGCGCGCACAGTGCCAGCGGGTTTGGCGCTCGCCGGTACCCTGATCGAGGCAGAGACTGGGCGTGAGGGTCAGGAAAAGTCCCTTATACCTGGGGGTGGCAGAGCCCCGGAGGCTCAGGAGTGAACGTGCTGTTGGGCGGTACACTTGGGAGTTCCCCGGTGAACTCTTCCGTGTGCAAGGCATGTCGGAGAACAGCTCAGGGCGGGGGGAGAAGAGGAGGCGGCCGTTTGTTTCCCTCCGCGTCGCTAACCTGTGCGCCCTGCTCTTTGAATCCAGAATGATTTGCTGCCGGTGGGACTCAGACAGAGGGACCAGACCAAAAAGTCTCCGACGGGCCCGTTCAAAAGGGAGGAGCTCCTGGAGCACCTAGAAGAGCAGGCCAAGGCGATGAAGGACCGGGAAGACCTGGTGCCCTTCACCGGAGAGAAGAGAGGTACGGCTGCATGCGGCTGTTTCGCCACGCGCTGTGGTGCGGAGATCCTGGAGCGCGTGGGCATGCTCTGTGTGGCAGAGCCCCCCAGGCAGCGAGAGCATGGCCACGTGTGTGCGAGACAGGGCGGGGTGGGGAGCGTTGGTCACGGTGCCGGGGCGTGACAGCTGGGGGCAGAGGCCGGCCGGACGCCCGGAGCCAGGTGCGGTCCCGTAGACTGAGCCGGGTGCGCGTGAGAGTTGGCAGCATGCAGGAAACCTCTAGTCCTGCCCTCCTCGACTCTGCTCCCTCCTTCCTGTCCTCCCTCGCTCTACCCGGCTGCTCCCATGCGGCCTCTCCCCTTCTCCCACCAGCGTTCTCCAGCCCCGTCCCACGCGGCCCTGGCCCTGGCCGGTCTCCCCACCGCTAGCCTTTAAAGCAGTCTCTGTGCTGATGGCTCAGGCGCCCCTCACTGGACCCTGGCTCACCTGTCCCCCATGCTGGTCCCCAAGCAGCTCGTGCGTCTGGCCATTCGGCAGGTTTCCGTATTTTTCCTCTTGCGCCTCACCCGTCCAGTGCCCCTGCTCACAGCCCCCCTTCACCACGACCCTGCACAGGGGAATCCGCT